ACTAAAATTACAGTTAAACACACATCAACATTAGTTTCCCTCAAAATGTTCCCACTTGCTTTGAATACACTTATCCCACTGTTCTTGGCTCCTTAATCAATTCAAAATACTTCCCTTTCACGGTCATTTTGACATTCAGGATGAGGCAGAAGTCATATCATGACAGATCTATTGAGATAAATAAGGCAGATGAGGATACACCGTAACTTTTTATGAGCCTGCCTTGCTGTTAGATGTTGGCTGGCACTTGGTCCCAAATTTCACTATATCTTTTTGAAATCACACTCCCTAAGTTCAGTAAAGATGGTTTCCAGAACTGCTTCAGAATGTGGCCAGGATGATGGGATAAGTATGTTCAAAATGAAGAATAATTTTACAGGGCTAGTAACAATGTGTCTTCTCTTGTAAGAATTTTTAAAAATTTAAACATGAACCATTTTTTCAATGATGACTTGTATGCATGTATTACATATATATGTATATATAGTTCTCTTCATTGATAATAAGTGAATGTACATGACCTGTAAGATTTCTGAGATACATGTAACCCTAACCCTAACCCCATTGTTCATTTAAAATGAATTTGGTAGCCTGTTTTTAAAAACATGTGGCTTTCTGAGATTTTTGCACTGAGAAATTCAGATATGGGATTGATTGTGCACTTGTGCTGGAATAATGACTCCAGTACCCTTAAACTTGCTCAATACCTCCCAGTACTTAAAATCTAAAATCCTAGCATCAGCCACAAGGCTGGTTCCATGTGACACTGGGCCTAATCATTACCCCTTTCCACCTCATTTCTGTGCTTCAGTGCCCTGTTGTCTTCTGGTTTCCTAATGAAGTTCATGAATTTTTTTAACCTTTTGCACATGATATGACCTTTACCTTTCCCCAGAAACATAGACCTAGACCACACTTGTCTTCCAGCTCACCTGAAATTGGCCTTTCCTGGCCCCCTTTCACAGTCTGCTCAGAGTCCCTCTCTGGCACCTTGTTGTCATTTAGACCTTCCTGCTCTTTTCTGTGAAAATAATTCCACACTTCTGCCCTCTCTGGCTCCTGCACAATTTCCCTTGTTTGTTCTCTGTCCCTCCTGCTCCCTTCACCAATGTGAACTCCCAGCTGTCAGTTTTTCTGCTTTTGGGTTTGCAGGGGCAGCGCAGGCCTGGCAGGGTCATTAGGAAGGAGACTGTGTATCCTGGAGGAGAGGGTCCCATGCAGCACAGGGTGAGGCTCTGGGCTGAGGGAGAGCGCAGGGAGTGTTCTGGGCTGAGCTTTCCAGCAACAGGTGGTGGGCATGGGGTTGAGGGTGAAACAAGTCCAGCCCCTGAGCCAGGGGCTGGCCAGCAGGGAGGGGCAGTTTGGGGAATCAGGTCTGGCAGGAGTGGAGTCCCTGCCCCGTGGGTTTCCTGCCCAAGGGAGGTGAAAGGTGAACCCCTGGGTGCTGGTGTGTGGGTGGCTAACAGTATCCTCCTGGGAGGAGGCTTGTGGCCAGGTCACTCCTGTCCCACAGGGGGTTTCTTGCATCAGAACTAATTTGTGTGTCACCTCTCCAATGGGATAGAGCAGGTGTGGTACCTGGAGAGACACACCTACAAGAGGAGTTCCTGCTCTTTGACAGTCACAGTGGGGAGCACTGTGCAGTGACAGAGCTGGGGCTGGCAGAGGCCAAGTCCTGGAACAGCCAGAAGGACTTCCTTGAGGACATATAGGCTGCAGTGGACATGTACTGCAGATTCAACAGGGGATTTTGTAGAGGTTCACTGTGCAGAAGAGAGGTGAGTGTCTACCTGGGTAGCCAGGGAGAGGGAAGGAGGGAGGGAGAGAGAAAGAGAGAGGGTGAAAGGAAAGGAAAGGAAGGAAAAAGGGGCGGTGAGGGACAAAGGGAGGAGAGAGGAAGGAGGGACAGGGAAGACAGGAGAGAAAGAAGGGAGACGGTGGGGAAGACAGAAAGAGGAAAGGGAGAGAGAAGAAGGGACACAGGGGGAGAAGGAGAGGGAAAAGAGAATGAAGGAGAGAAAGGGAGAGGAGAGAGAAAGGATTGAAGAGAGGGTGAAAGGGAGAGATGGAGAGAGGGGCAGCAAAAAAGAGAGAAAGAAAAGGAGAGAGAATGAGAGAAAGGAAGGGAGGGGCCAGGAGAGAATGAGAGAAAAAGGGAGAGGGGTGGAGAAGGGGAGAGGAAGGGAGAGCAGGGAGGGGAGAGGGGAGGTAGACAGGTTGACAGAGGGGAAAAGGGGCAGAGAAAAGGTGAGAAAGAAAGGGAGATAAACAAGGGAGAGAGAGAGGGAAGGAAAGAGAGAAGGAGACGGAGGGTGAGGCAAGAGAGGAGGGAAGGAGGGAGGGAGAGGTTCTCCGTCTGGAGTGTGTGGACTGTGAGCAAACAGAGGTTTATGAGGGTTTGTGTGAGAATCTGCGGTTCTTGAGGAAGTGTGTATTTTGCCAGAGTATGACAGCGTGTGTGTCTGCACGGGGACATGATGTGCTCCAAATGGAGCAGGCAGGGCTACAGGCACAGGAAGTGCTGAGAGGCTTGGGGTGTTGCTGGACAGGGTAGGGGTCTGCTCAGGCTGATGGTGAAGGTGGGGGTGGGGGGAGACTGAGACTCAGGCAGGGTACAGGATTGTGGGCATCTTTGCTGGGCCAAGGGTGCAAGGAGGACAGGGGTGTCAGCAGCCGGGATGCTGTGAGGAGGCGGCTCACACACGGCCCTTGGCTTGCAGCCTTTTTTATGGTGAAGTCCAGGAAATACAAGTGCGCTGTGTGCACACATTTCAGGGAACAAAAGTGTCAGATTAATGTGGTGGGAGAAGGGGGACGAGGCACCTGGGACCTTGTCCAAGGCTTCGTTTACATCCCAATTTCCCGTTGTTTCTCACTTGTTTATTTGCCTGCCTGGTGTATGCACCTTCACATGACTGAAGAGATGGTGAAGCTGGCCTTTGCTTAGAGTGGTGGTACTTAATGTACTGATGTTACTGCTTTTATAATCGAATAACAGGAGGAGGTTGTGTGTTATTTCTTTCTGTATTGTAATCTAACTTGTAATTGTACTTGGTGAGACTAGTTTTTATTTATTTATTTATTTTGGGGGGGGTTTCCAGTACCAGGAATTTGAACTCATGACCTCGCGCTTGCCAGGCAGGCGCTGTGCTGCTGAGCTGCATCCCCAGCCCCAGAGACTAGTTTTAAATACTGACAATTCAATTCTCCCTTAGTGTTGTATGTAGGTTGTTTCTCTGAATATCAAAATCTGAAAAAATATTCCAATGTGCTATGCAAAATGGTGTAATATTTGCATGTCACTTATGTATATGCTCCTTTGTATTTCATATCGTACCTAAATTGCTTATGCTTCCTTAACACTGTGTGAATGCTACCTACATAATTATATTGTTTAGGAAAAAATGACAAGAAAAAAGTGAGTATGTTTACTACCAACACATATTTTTGCTATATAAACAGATGAATCTTCCAGTGGGGAACCCTGGGATACAGAGGTCCACCTGTATGCTAAAACATTGTACTTTTAATTTATAACTTTAATTTTTTGATTTATAAGGTTTCAAAACATTTTTCTACAACTATTAACAAATGCTATTATTCTAAAAATTATTTATATTTTCTCTGGGGTCTACCGCTTTTTAAGTGATTTTATGGCTTTTTCTTTTTATGGACTGGGAATTGAACTCAGGACCTTGAGCTTGCCAGGCCAAGAACTTGCACCAGTGAGCTATATCCCTGACCCTTTTTCCTTATGGGTTCTTTTTTTTTTTTTTTTAACCAGGAATCGAACTCACAACCTTGTGCTTGCCAGGCAGGCACTTGTGCCACTGAGCTATATATATCTCCAGCCCTTTTATGGGTTCTTTATGCAGAAATATTCTTAATACCTTCCTGCTATTTTATGCAGCAGCTTCTCCATTTTCTGGTTTATATTTCATTTCTGTTTAATACTGTTCATGATCAAAATGCAAACATCGTAATAAAATATGATGCAACATTGTTGATACTGATTTACTTGCAATCTTATATCTGCCATTTTCTGGTACTGTGAAAATTTGTCCTTTTGGAACAATGCATCTAGTGAAGCAGGTATTGGGAGGGATTGTAACAGGCACGAGGCACATGTATTAATAAGTCCAAGACACCGTGTTGACCACAAAGGTACAACCTGGTAACTCTAGGTAGGTGAGTTTAGTAACAGAGAGGCATTCCTCAGGTGAGTGCAAAGAAGGCATCTCTCTAAAGGATTGATTCCCTTGCTGCTTTCCTTCTGCTCAGGACTCCAAGTTACCTGGGACTCAGCTCTCAGGCTTAGAGACTCAATCCCTCTGCCCCTGCTTCCCAGTGTGAAGCCCTTCCTGGCCCTGGAAGTGTGACTGTGTGGACAGAGCATTCCCAGGCTTCCCTGCTCCATCCCCTTCCTACTCCTCTGCTCCTGTCCGCTTTTCCATGGGGTTGCAACTCAGATTCTCACATAGGAAATGGGGGAACAGTAAACTAGGAAAAATACATTAATGGCAAAATGCTAGTTCATGCTTTATATATGTTAGTTACTTAAATTCTAATATAACACTAAATACTGAATCAATGTCACTGTCCCATTACAGGTGAGACAAATGCTGCACAAAGAAATGCAATGAACTCTTTCAGGATTAGCAGGAAGAGGGAAAGCCTGGATTGAGCTCAGGCAATCTGGTTACAGAAATCACACTTTTACTTAATACTTCATATACTGTGGGAAGACTTGAAAACCCTTTATTCAGAAATGAAAAATCATGTCATGTCAAGCTATGGAAAATGTAACATTTTTTTCAGATCTCTTGTGCCCTTGCTTTGAGAGTGTAATTGTGGGCTCAAGACAGAGGCTCCTGTGAGCCTCAGGCCGATGTGAGAAGGCCAATAAGGACCTGGGTCTGTTGCTGGAGAGGCCCAGAAAGGCAGCCAGCCAAGAGCTATTCTGCCTTCCTGACTGGGTCTCTCTGCCTTTTCTCCTCTAGTTGAGCCTAAGGTGACCGTGTACCCCACAATGACACAGCCCCTGCAGCACCACAACCTCCTGGTCTGCTCTGTGAGTGGCTTCTACCCAGGCCATGTCGAAGTCAGATGGTTCCGGAACGGGCAGGAGGAGGAGGCTGGGGTGGAGTCCACAGGCCTGATCCGGAATGGAGACTGGACCTTCCAGACCCTGGTCATGCTGGAAACTGTTCCTCAGAGTGGAGAGGTTTACGCCTGCCAGGTAGAGCACCCGAGCTGCAGCAGCCCTGTCACGGTGGAGTGGAGTGAGTGGGAAACCCTTCACCTCATAAAATCCCCTCGCACCCGCCTTGAAGCAAAACACACCTCCTGGTACTCGGTCACCTCTTTGTTCATGCCAGTCTGTTGGCTGCCATCTTTCTAAACCTGTGCTGTGAAGAACCCAAGGCCTTGGATCCTGGCGCACGGTTCCCTGTTCTGCTCGCTCAGCGTGGGTGTGGGGTACGCATCAGGGTTGGCTGCAGTCACGGTGCATAGTTCCCAAGTCCTATGCCTTGCAGTCTGGCCTGGGCAAGTGTTAGTGTTCGCACTGAAGTCATTGTTACATTTTTAATAAAATAGTAAAAGAGGTAAGTAGTGTTAATAAGATGGGGAAATCAGAATGGGAAATAGTATTTCAAGATTTAATGAAAACTCTTCCTTATTTCCATTCTTTTCTTATTTTTTTCTTCTGCCTCTTTCTAGTCTGCTCTTCTTTTTCCTCCCCTTCCTCCTGGTGCTCTTCCTTCTCTTTCTTCTCTCCTCTTCCTTTTCCTGCTCCTCTTGTTCCTTCTCCTCCTCTTTGTACTACTGGAGATGGAAGCCAGGTCCTTCACAGTGAACTACATATCTAGAATTTTAAAATTTTTACTTTCTGACCAAGTCTTACTTACTGCCCAGCCCAGGCCTGAACTTGTGGTTCTTCTACTTCAGCCTCCCAGAATCCTGAGATTGCAGGTGTGCACATCATCCTGCCTGGACTGAACACTTTTTCCCATAAAATATCCATTACTCTAAAGCAGAGTTATAGCAGTCTAACTTGTGTCCTTTACTGATCTTTCACACCTAAAATACTTCCATTTAGACAGTCATTTGTCTCTGCTGTTGGGTTAAATTCCTATGTGAAGAAACACTCAAGACCCTCCATTCCACATAGCTGGACACATGTACATGTGTATTCTGGCAGTGGTACTAAAATCAGAAAGAGCATCAGGAGACAAACTTATAAGATCTCTCTATAGATGTTAACTGATTGACTAGAATTCAGTTGCTGTTAATGTATCAGAAATGTTCCTCCAATCAGCACTTTTATTTCTATCATTTTCTATCATTTTATCAGTTACCAGGGAACGCAGCTCCTTGAGGTGCCCACAGAATCACAACCTTTTCATAGTACAAATATCTGAAAGCTCACAGTACTTTCACTGTAACCGTGAGAGGGTGAATAGCTTCCCATAGCCAGCAACACTAAATTATGGTACAATAAGATCAGATTGAATGTCTGCAACTCTCAGTCACCTTCACTCCATTCTCCTTACTCTTGAACACCTTCAGACATAGAGATGTTCAACTAGCTCTGTCTTCAAATGTGGGACAAGGGTCAAATTTGTGAATGCATTCCTGAGAGCTGGTTCTCCTTAGTGGTCCAATTAAACTGTTTCAGAAGTAATTGGATCAAACCTTTATCGTAGAACTCAGGAGACTGAGGTGGGAGGATTGGCATGAATTTAAGGCCAGCCTGTGCAACATAGTGAATTCAAGGCCGGCGTGACCTAAATATTGAGACCCTGTCTCACCTTCCTTCCCCAAAGAGAAAGAAAAATATTCACTTGAAACAATCTGTGTAATGAAGGAAATTCTAATGAAGGAATTTCCAAGTCCTCTTCAGTGAAACTTCAGCCTCAACTCATGTTCTCTCAGGGCCTTGAGGGGATTTAGAAATAATGATGTTAAATTCATTTCCAACTATATTACTTCCCCTATATTATGTTGCTTTATGCCAGAAAAAGGGGAGATTTCTCTTTAAAAACAGAGCTTTATATGTAGAATTCTACTCTATCAACATACTTTTGTTCTCTTTTCAGTAGGAAATATTCAAATTTTGAACTTGTTAAAAGATTTCTGTAAAATGGGAGGTGGAGTATAAATCTGAATGGTTTTTCCCAGTAGATCTTGTGTCTCGTGCTCACCAGGGTCGGAGCACACATGGGGATGCACCGAGAGGCGTCCTCCATCACCTTCTTTGTTGCTTTCTGAACTCCAGCAGCTGACCCCTATCTCTGTGCTGGAGGCTGTGATGCGGGTGTGGTCAGTGCTCTCTTTTTCTCCTGCTCTTAACACCTTGCACTGGAATCAGAGGTTCTTCTTACTTTAAATTTCCCTGTAGACAATGAGCATCTGGGGGTGTGTTCTTTGTTGCCTCAAGTACAGGTCTGTAATCCTGTCATAGGCTGGGGTTCACGTTATTAACCTGTCTTGAACCTCTCTATGCTACCAATTGCTCCTCACATCCCATATTCTCTGGCGTGAGCCCACAAAATGGTTTGAACTCATTTCAATAAAATGTGTGAGAATCTATACTTAAGTAATCATCACACTATTGAAGCAATTTTTTGTGTTTCAAAGTATACATACTAGCAGGAGTACAAGGAGAGTGTGAAGGATAATACCAACTCACAGGGCTCAAAGCCAATATGCAAGGAGAGGAAACTTATTGGCCTATCGGGGTCTTGACCCAAATTTCAGAGGTTTTGTTTTCATTGTTCCCTCTCTTTTTCTTAATGAGCCGTGGTGCGTTACCGATACCTCCACATCCTTTCTGTCCTTTCACCAGCAATGCCCTGACCTGTACTGAAAATCTTTGAAATTTGCACAGATCTTCAGCACTTTAAGAGATCCATTAGTGATGACAACATTTAAGAAAAATTTATATGATATGAAGTGTTAACTGTCGCCATACTTTGAGTGTGGAATGTTCTCTAAAAGTCTCTGTGTTAAAGGCTCGGGCTTCAGGTTGGTAGACACTTGAAGGTGTGAGCTGCTGGGAGTTTAAAGGTCATGGAAGGGGAGCTTTCAAAGGGGGTTGTGGGATGCTAGAATATTTTCTTTCTTTCATACCGCAGCCATGAGGGGAACACCATGCCTGGTGCCATGTTACGTTGCTCCACAGGCACAGCAGCAATGGGTCTGCCTCCCCGTGGACTGAAACGTCCCTACCGTGAGCCAGAATCAGTCTTTGTTCTTTATTAGTTGGTTGTCTCAAGTAGTTTTCTAACAGTGATGGAAAGCTAACAGAATTATCACAAATATTTTTCCATAATGTGCTTCGAACTTTTGCAATGATTCTCTATTCTTTACTATTGCTAATGCCAAATGCTTACATACAATAGGTCATATTTCCTATGGAATTTTAAAATGTCTTTTTGAACTTTTGTCAGTACAATTAAAGGTAAAGTCAAAACCACTAAAATATATATACATATATATATAGACATATATATACATATAAACATGCATATATATGATTTATAAGGTGTAATAGAAGAGAGTATGTTTAAAATTCTAAAATATTATAATTAAACACATATTGCTATTAGTTTCCCTTAAAATATTCCCACTTCTTCAAACACACTTATCCTCTTTTCTTGCCCCCTTCTGAACCATTCTGGAAGTTATTTTTTGTGTCTGCAGTTGCACTGTCCTGGCTCCTTACAACTCAAAACATTCAGCTTTGATGGTCATTTTGATTTTAAGGAAGAGAGAGAAGTCACACTATTCCAGATCTATTGAGATGAATAAGGTAGATGAGAATACACAATTCTTTTTTTTATGAACCCACCTTTCTGTCCAGTGTTGGATGGTCCTTGGCAGCAGCATTCACAGTCTTTTTTTTTTTTTTTTTTTTTGGTTTTTTGGGGGGTTTTTTTTGTTTTTTTGTTTTTGTTTTTTTGTTTTTTTTTCCCAGAAATCAAACGCACGAACTTGCACTAGCTAGGCTGGCGTTGGGCTGCTGAGCTAAATCCCCAGCCCCATTCACCATATTTTTAAAAATCACACCTGCTACAGACAGTAAAGGAAATCTCCAGAACTGCTTCACAGTATGAGAAGTATTTTTTTTAGTTTATTTTATTGGTACATTTTAGATATGCATAAGATCGCATTTATCATAGGGAATTTGTATCTGTACGTGATACATCTTACTTCACCTTTTCCCCCCACCCGTTCCACTCCCCTGTCTTCCACCTCTCTTTCCTTCCTTATCTACAAAAGCTTTCTTTCCATTTTTTCCCTTCTATTCTCTTTTCCTTTTCCTTTCCTTTCTTTTCTTCTCTCCCCATCTTGTTACCCTTACTGTATGGGACATGCAGGTTTAAATATCACATTATTTTTCTGGTGTGAGAAACTGAAAGTATAAATAAGGATAAAAATTCATAATGTTAAGAAATTTTAAAAATTTGGACATTAGGCATTTCAATCACCAGTTCTATGTGTATATATGTGTATGAGGTTTTATGTATTGAAACTAAGGAAACAAATGTGACTCGAACTTTCTGAGATACACCATCTCCCCATCATTCATTTAAAATGAATCTGGCATCACAGTTTTCAAAAGATGTGGCTTTTTGAATTGAGAAATTCAGATGCGGGATTGTGGGCCTGTATCATTCTATTTTAATCTCCTTAAACCTGTTCAGCAGTCTCCCATTCCTTAAAATCCAAAATCCCAGCATCACCTGCAAAACCGGTTCCATGGACGTCTGGCCTAGTCTTTACTCCTAATCCTTACTCCTGCCCGCCTCGCTTCTGTGCTTCAGTACCCTGTTGTCTTCCGAACCTTCTGCACATGGTATTACCTTTACCGTTCTCCCAAAACATAGGCCCAGACCGCATCTGCCCTACAGCTCACTTGAACTGAGCCTCTTCTGGCCCATTCCACAGTCATTCCTCAGAGTCCCTCCCTGGCATCCTGTTGTCATTTAGATCTTTCTACCCTTCTCTGTGAAAAGACTTCCACACTCCTACCATCCCCCTCTCCTGCACAATTGCCCCTGTCCGGCCTCTGTCCTTCCTGCTCCCTTCACCGATGTGAACTCCCACCTGCCTGTTTTTGTGCCTTTGGGTTTGCAGGGGCAGCGCAGGTCTGGCAGGGTCAGCAGGTAGGAGAAAGGGTGTAGCCTGGACAGGGTGAAGCACTCTGGGCCGAGGGAGAGGGCAGGGGGTGTTTGGGCAGAAGGTGGTGGGGGCAGGATTGAGGGCTAATCCTAGT